TGGCTCGTGATTTGTATTTCGTGGTTCATATTTCGTGATCAGTGCGTTTCTAAAGTTACTACAAGTACTGCAAGAAGGTACCGAGACCTGGCACGAGGGTATGAAAACCCTAACCAGGAAACTGGGTCATATAGGTCCTGTTAGGCTCCCTGGTTGGGGACCTCGGGATGATCGTAACCCATGGTTGGAGTCACTGAGCGATATGGCTGAGTGTCGTTTGTGCATCTCCTCAATTTCTTTGCAACTCTACACCACTGAACTTCTCCATTTTCTTTTCGACTCCACTTTCAACCTTCTTTTCTTCTCCTATTCTTCATCTAAATGGGCAGCCAAAATACAGCAACCAAAATTGGCGCTCGAATTTGCATGGTTAATGGTTGTTCAAACTGAAACTGAAACTGAAACCGAGATATCACCCAGGACACAGGGCACCCACGCCCTATACGCAGCGACTGAAAGTTTCATACAACTCGGTTTAAATAGTTTAAATCTAACCCGCTGATGAATTTGTGTCATGTTACAGAACGTCTTGGCAGAAGATCAATTTCCAAAAACATCACATCTAATCACGATAATCTTGGCCTAGGATCAATACACGTTTTCGTGTGTACTTGATCCATTTTAAATGGTGTTCGCCTTCGAAGAAACTAAAGTGTGATAATGATCCAGTCTTAGTGATTCGGGTGGGTACAATCGTGACCATTGACGTCACACATGTCAAACGTACCACACAACACTGACGCCAGAATGAACATGATAACTACATAGACAAAGCCAATTCCACTTGTGATAACCAGCTGAGGGCATACAACCAAGTCTCAACCTGTGTACTCGTAGGCTCCTTCTCATTTTTATATGATCAATCAGTCTGATGCGCTGTAATGAACTCTGTATCCAATCGCTTGTAATTTGGAAGGAAACATAATGAATATTCTGAGTGGCAGTTTTGTTCCTATTGAGACTTGCTGGTGGGTGGTGACGGGAGCGTGCTCAGAATAAAATCGACAGAACGCAGTTTGACAGTGGATTAACAGTCGCTTCGTGATTGATTATGGATTGATTAAAGTGCACAAAAGAGGTCCGGAAAACCTTGCACATTGTTCGAAACAGAAGTGCAACGGGTCTATTTCACGCCACTGACAATTCCGTCCCCTTATTACAATATTCATTCAGCATCACCATGTTTGTCTAGTGATATTACTTAATTTCTACCTCAACCCTTTTGAAGTTTAAAGTGGATTACAAGACCAAGCCAAAAACGAATCGTTCTCGTTTCGCTTTGCGACCGAGCTTGACCTAGCCGATACGCTTCTATTTGAATGATAATACTTACAACGTTTGGCCCGGTACTTGATCGAGCATACTCATCTCATCTTACGCACCCAGATGAGGATCGAATCCACTGAGATAACATATTTTGTAACTCCGGATTCACTGCCAAAACAAACCTCATCAGTGATAATGAAACCAACCACCCCTAGACTCGATGGTTCCAGACTATGATTGGGGGGGGGGGGGGAAGGGGNACACAATTTGAGTTCGTATAGAAAATGCTCAATCAGTGCATTTCAGTTAAGGAGCGTGTGGCTCAAAAACTACACCACAACGTGCAAAGACAGAAAGATGTGATGTTCTTATAGAAACCTCCCCTACTAACTGCTGAGGGAATATCGCACAGGTAACATTCTGGAATCATTCAAGTTCTCCTAATCTGGTATTTTGCATGTTATTTATAAATGAACCCCAATTTGATCTGATCCTTTAAATCCAGTGTACTACTACTTGAATAAGTCTAATTAGTAGGTTTTGGAAGCATTAGTTGATTATTAACATTCCAGTCGTGAAATGAAAGGACATTGTACTTCGTTTCCTGCAACTCAGGCACAAAATCCCGAAAGAAATTGAATTTCATCGTTATTCTCTACAGATAACTCTTTCATTATACCTCCTCGGCTTCATATCATATGAATTGCCTCTTCAAAATGGGAGTTTGCGCCAAAATAAGCAATATGTGTAGACCTTATTTTGTATAAATCGCAATGATTGATTCCGTTTGTAAGATGTCACAGCTCTGTGTACACAAAGTTGAACACACGGCTATGCATCCCGTATTTTTCACAGGAATGATCAACTTGATTTCTTTTTACCGTAGAGAAGGCAAGCTTCTTTGCAAACTGTTGCGAGATTAGGGCTTGGTTACTGGTCGAGTTGCTGGTCTCTTTCGGTAACGTTAACCTCAGTGGATGGAACACACGGTACGCCGAATAGGTGACTGACTATCTGATCAGACCGATCTCAGTTCCATACCCTAGCCTCCTCGAAAACCCGTAATGGCGGATCACTCAAATTTCCGTTAGGCTACATTTAGTTATAATCCCGCATGGGCGGATGCATTACAATACGCACTTAATGCTGATTCATCCAGTGGCGGAAGACAATCGTACAAAGTGACGTTTGCATGAGAGTAATGGTGGAATTGAATCATATTTACGGTATCCCACTTCTGTATAGAGCTAGCGAAACGTAGACTAAAAAGCTAGGATGCACTGTATACAGCTGTTTCAATCTGTTTGGGTCGCATCAACATTGCGAATGGATCGAATCAACTGAGGATCGAACCCAGGACCTCACAGATAGAATGTAAGCATAATGCCCACTCGCCTAACTGATCAGACCATATTTCATACACACGATATGACTCAAACCATCTTTGCAAGCTTGGTACTAGCATCAGACCGCGCTCTTCACCGGAGTTATTTATGACTCCCTTGGAGACATTCCGAATTTTATTACTTGATACGTAATAGTAAGTTCAAATGCGCTGTTTCGATGTTCAGGCAGCACTCAAATTCCAAAACCAGCAGTCAATGAAGCACTTGGTTCATACAAATAAGTATTTTTTTTATTACACACACTTGTGGAGACAATAGACGGGGCGGACCCCATAGTCGGGAAGGTCTGCTGTTCAGTGATCAAAACCGATAATCCAAGCCCCGGAGCTTGGAGTAGCGAACCACATAAGTTCCCACTGGATCCGGCATGATATTGAACCGGGGGACAGCAAAGTTGGGTGGTGGTAGTGGTGGCAGGGTTCGAACGTCAGATCATCGGATCGAAAGCACATCGGTTGTAGCGAATAAACCACTGCGCCACCACCACCACCACCCAAGTCAAGAATTGACTACTCAACAAAACGTTAGGTTTGTATGTCAAACCATGAAGTTCCCATGCGTGAAGCATAGGGGAAGTTGAATCACTTTTGTTGATCTACAGTCATTTTATAAAAAGATAACAAAAAACAGTTCTATTCGTCTCCAGGTGGGGCATCTTCGCCAATGACAAAAGCACCGATTCTTTGTCATCAAACTCTAATCCGCAAGGTTGTATTGTTTGCAGCTCTACGTAACTAATTTTCAACAGAGGAAAGACACACAAAACAACAATACTGCATTTATAGTATTGTTTTATCTGGTGAATGAAATTTGGTAGGGTGAAACGTTCAGTCAGACAGTGTATGATTTATGTTTTTGTTTAGCACCAGTTCCGTGATTCCAGGAGACCATTGATCTCAACGCAAATATGATGTTTCAGAGCCTGCTGCACGAAACTTCAACTATACCTCAATGAGCAAATTGTTCACACAATAGAAAGAAACGTCATTTTGGACAACTTCAGCTCCTCTATGAGGATAAATCGACATTACATTTATCACGGGTCGCGGGGGCTTGTGAACAGAGTGTTGAACTCAAAGCTTAGTAGTTGTTATACTTCATCTTATGCAAATTTATGTTTTCTCGTGCAATGCAAACGTACTCGGGGCTCTCGCAGCGCAGCGGAGTGAACAGAGATGCGCGACAGGATGTTCCTCGACTCGTGTTCTCGCATCTGGAGACGATACGAAGCTTTGCGAGCGACGAACTACGGCAGGGAACGGTGGTAGGGATGGCGACACAGGTTGGCAAGGAAACACTGGCACATGGGTCTTATGTGGGTCGGGGTCAAAGATAAACCTGCAAAGAAAAGCAAACAAAACGCCATGAACCAAAAACGTTCAGTGAGATACAAGCACTCACGATAAAGTATTACTGGAGCGGTTTCCAAGTGTTACACGTGGACCGTATGTTTGACAGCATGTAATTACACAAATACAATCGATTAGAAACTGTCGATTCAAATGTCACAGTGCATGAGCAAATTACAGCAAAACAAAAGTCTCGCACTTCTGAAAAAAGACAAACACTCATCTAACAGCGAAACCAGACACTTCAAGTCCGTATGAGGCTTACCGTATTAAATGAACTGAACTCGATCGGGGCTGTTGTAAACGTATCCAGATCTCCATTGTGCATGGAACAAACAGCATGATGCTCTTCGAGGTATTCCCCGATGGTGCATACGTGTAGTCTGTCTATTTTGTTATGATTCGTGACAATAGGTGCCGGTTACATTCAACTGGTCGCTCTCTGACCAGCGTTATTGTAACGGGCTTCGCGGTCTACCAGAAGTTAGTCAGCAAAGAAAATTAACTCAAATCCATGCGGACGTTTTATCACTTAATAAGCCAGACTAAAACAATCCCACAAGCATAGAACAGAAACAGCCCACATTAACTAATCACACTTCTATTGTGTATGAAAAAGAAACAGTCTATCTTTTTGTGCTCAGCTTCTCGAGTTGCAAGTACGTGATATATTTTTTTGCAGTACTCACCTACGTTCCCGAGTTTTGTTTACAATGGAGGATGAGACTCAACACATAATCAAAACCTATGTATATTTGCAGTGCTTGCAACGTTTCCAATCCGTTCAAATTTATTCCCAGTGGTGAACAATTTCCATGTGACAATACAACACCACACACCACCTGACAAAGAAGTGCACACTCCTTCACAAATGATAACACTCATTTTGGTAAATTATTCCCACAAGAACGCACAACGACAGTTAGGATGCTCCATTATGAAATTTTGAATTACGATTTGCTGATAAACACAAAAATTCGCCACATGGTTGTTTCGTTCCTATTTTGCTATTATTGTTTCCACCGGAACTGGACAATTGAAAGTGATTACGTCAAACATGATGATGTGTCAATTTTACACTTATTTATGATTCTTACGATGAATTCACCTTGTTTGAATTTCTTTCTATCGTGTCATAGTTATTGATGAATTGCTTTCCTAAGTATACATATTTCACGTGGATTCATATTAGTTTGTACTTCAAAGTACTTCAAAGATACACAATGTACCAATTGAGCTATTCCATTGAAAAGTGTGCAATAATTTCTATCGCACCTCTACAAACCCTGCTTGACCTATTCGCAGATCACGGTGGCTTTACAAATTACACCATCTGATTTGTCACACTTGACCACGGCCAAACCCCCATCGATCGATGATGTAACGGTGAGTTCCACTCGCCTTCATCCTCTTGTCACTCACCGCGAAGATTCCAAGCATTTGACTGGGTAACACCTTTGTTCGATCCCCATCGATGGCCCACAAATAGCAACATTCACAAAACTGGTTATGCTTTGTTCAGAGCATTTGGTATTGAACACAGAATGAAACGAAATTTCCCGCGTTATCCTCCAAAACATCAGGCCACTGCTTAGATGACTTAAGCGGACTGAATGACTCGCTTTTGTTCGTTAACTATGGGATGTTAGTTGTCAACCTAAAGGATCCACGTGTGCATGCGTATAGCCACCACACAGAGAAGATCGATTCATGTTCACTATCCACCTTACACTAAGCAGTTCAGAAAGCTGCCAAAACTTCACCTTGAGCCTGACCGCTCATCTTGGAGCTAACTCAGAAAAAATCTTCAAGCGGGGATTCTGGCCGAATCAAGACCATGTTTGGATTTTCATAACTGAATATACCTAAATGAATTATGAATGCTACATTAGCTAATCCTCTGTTACACTTCCTGAAATCTATCAACATAAAACCAATTCATTGGCCCATTTCAGTAGTTGCATTTGATTAGACTTCGTCCTCAGGTCAAACGCGAGCAGCATCCAATTTTGTTTCAAGTAATTATTGATGCAGCGAACAGAGTCCGAATAAAGTGACCTGCAAATAAGCAAAACAAATGAAAGTATGTTGTGCCCGATAGCCATTAATCTGTTTCTAAAGTGTAACTCTATTGCTTTTCGTTCACTTATCCAATCCATACACCTGGAGGTAACGATTTTCAGTGAAAGATGGCAGTGTTTCATTTTGTTTCTGTCTTCATTTCGGTGGGATCGATAATCATTGGTGTGATACAGACAAACATTAGCAATGAAGTAGTATTACATATCTAAATTTGACCACTTGGTTGGTTACATGTATTGATAATGCGAACCAAGATTATGGATACCCTCGGGTGCACATTCAGTTTCACATGGACCAAATTATCTGTATCCGAGGTGAGGGGTTTCTCTCACGTTTAGTTGTTGATGGAACACACGGATATCGCTCTCATTCTGTCTGTCTGTCTGTCTGTCTGTCTGTCTGTCTGTCTGTCTGTCTGTCTATCTATCTCCTTTTTAGCACATAGAGGACTATGCTTGAACCCGTGTCGAATCTATACCCCAGATAAACGGTACGAACAAAGTGATCCACATCAGTCGAACGCTCATTTATCCGTCCAAAACAATACATTTAACTACACTACCTTCAACTGCGTCCCCGGGGAGTAATTTTATTAAAACTTTACCGTTCGAAATCATTACAATGATTTTGCGATAACATCTTGAAGACTAGATGTTTTTAATCACAGCTAAACCGATTTTCAAATTGATTTGTGCCAGTCATTTTCTCGGATATATATAGCCGGTTTGCGAACAAGCATAATTCAACCGTAATAATAATAACAACCGAGAACGAACAGGTTAGTTTTTTATGGGATAAGGGAGTTCAACAAACAAACCGCACAGTATTCACCCCTTCCTCCTCTGACTTCCATTCTGGGCCATATCTCTTGGCGTCTCTAACCAACAACAATCCTCATCCCTTGGGCCCAAACCTGAAGGGCAGGTTGCACCAACCGAAGCCAAAGCTGAAGCCAGCTTCTTCCATGCCTCTAGGCCATTTCATGGTCTGACCGCCGCGGCGCTTCTTCCAGCTTTGCCCGTCATGTGCAAAGAGAACGCAGAAGGGTAGTCGAT